GGCCTGGAGATGCACCCCGAAAGGAGATGCACCCCAAAACAGCACCGGGCTGAGACCCCGCTGTCGGGCGATGGCAACGAGCTGCGCCCCTTGCTTGAGTCTTTTAACGAGGCTGCTGCCGTCCATCACGTTTCAGGGGGACATTCCTCCACAGGGCAAAGAAACGGCGGCTTCAAGAAGCGGCTCATTGTCCTCGGGCGGCACGGCCGGGGCCGAGCAGCCTGGCACCACGGCACAGGAACAAAAAGCCTCCTCTTCTCCAGCCCTCCGCAACCGGGCGTCCCTGGACGGCGCTGCCCCCGAAAAATTTATGGCATGAAGTTTGCAAACTGCAGAGAATCCGAGCACTCGGCGGCCGGTGACCCCAGGGACACGGGGCCGTGAAGGCAGGCGTTGATCTGCAGGGATGAAGCGGCAGAGCCACCCGAGAGGAGAATGGCTTTTGGCAGAAATGGGGTTTTCCAACCCAAATCATAGGTTTGGTTCACACACGGCGGGGGACTGGGCATGCTGCCGCCCCGTTCCCACCCACCTGGCCCCGCACAGGGGTCCCAGCCTGAGCCCCGGCGGCTCCCGCCCCCCGCCTGGCACATAACCCAGTTAGTCTCAATAAGCGTTTAAATTAAATTAGTTAAACTACATTAAACCCCTGCGAGGACACGGTTCAGAGTGGAAACGGCCTTAATGTGATTTCAGCTGACTTCCCTGCCACGATTTGCAAGTCAGAGAAATCGAATTAAGGCTGTTTTCGTTCTGAACTCTGTCCACACAGGCCCGTAATGCAGTTTAATTAATCTGCTTTAAAATTGAGCCTGTCTTTCATTTGGGCAACTTCACCTGACTCATCCCGGAGAAGCAAAAACCCCCCGGGCGGGGGGCAGGGACGGGCTGTGACCCCCGGGCAGGCACGGGGCTCGGCCGTGGGTTTGAGGATGAAAAGTCCTGGAGGGTTTAGAGAAAACTGGGATTATCCCTAATCCCATCAGGGAATAATCTGGGGGTCGAGCTCCGTGCAGCAGCGAGCTGCAGCCACCCGCGCTGGGCTCCCCAACGCCCGGTTAGCCGGAGCACCCCGGCTCTCTGCTGCCCGGGGTCCCAGCAGCGCTGCGGGCGCTGGGACCAGGGTTTCTCGGCTCTCCTCGATGGTTATCGCCGCTTAACAAAGTTTCCTCCTCGGTGGAAGCGAGCAGCCAGCTGAAACCGGCTGCATTAAGCCCTGCGCCGCTCCCGGGAAGGCTGTAATGGCTGGTAATTGCCGGCCAGCAGCTCCGAGGAGGCTGGGGCTGGGCCGGGGAAGACCTCAGCCC